GGAACAAGGTCAGGAGTCCAAACACAGAACCATTTTTTCCCTCCTTCCCCTCTCCACTACAGTCTCCTTCCTGCCTCTCCTCTCTCTGGTGCAAGCATTAAGATGTTGGCCATGTCTGCTGGAGAGAAGGGAGGGGCAGATTAATAGGATCAGTAGCACCGTGACCCTAAAGCCCCCCCACAATCCCATTGACAAACTTAGTGAGCTGTCTCCAGCCTGCATGGGCTGGGGGAAGGAGGGGAACCAGGAGCCACTCTGGGGCGGGTGGGTACAGCCACTGCCTTGGGCTCAGCGATAGGTGCCCAGGAGGCAGGAGGTGCTAGCCTTGCTGCCAGCCCCTCTTCACACATGCCTCATCCATTCTGGGGACCCCCTAAATCTTTTATCAGCCTTTTCTTTCTGTGATGATTGCACCAGCCTCCATTAGCCAGTAGGTAAAGTAGAAAGGTTAGGGCGTCCTGACTGATTTGATGGGATCTCTTCTCACTCCCAGCCCAGAGGTCTGAGGGGGCTGGGATCCTCGCTGGACCCGAATGGGCACTTACCAGGCTTCTGTGAGGAGGAGAGACTGTTCGGGTGGCCCCTGCGGCTGGACTGCCTTTCTCCCCCCGGCTCCTAGCCTCTTGTGGAGTGGAGGATGCAGCTCCGATGACGTAGCATCTGTCTATCCATTCAGGAATTTCGTTTGCCTCTCTCTTTCTTTCTCTTGCTGCTCTCCCTGGAAAGGCAGCAAAAAGGGGGTGCTGCCCCTCTCTGGAGACACTACCACCACCACCACCAAAATAACAACCCACTCTGACAAAGCCCCTCCTTCTTCCTTCCAATGCCTGTGTGGCCAGGGGTCTTTGTCACCTCCACTCTGCTTGCCACCTCCCCTACTGCCTTTTCTAACCTGAGGCAGGAGGAAGGGGCTAAGGGAAGCTATTGTTCCTCCAGGCCACCCTCATCCCCCAGGGAAGCAAGAGAAAGGGTGTGATGGAAAGACTCCGTCCCTAGTCTCTGAGTTTTAATTCGCTTTGGAACTTGAGAGAGCGATTAAGTGGTGTGTGGAGGGTGAGGCGCAGAGGTGATGAGGAGCCATGGGAAGGTGACACAGTTTGCCATTTGAAGGCTCGGGGCGTCCCAGTCCCCCCTTCCTAGGCCTCGCCTCGATTCCTATCTCGGTCAGCTTAACTAATCACAAATCCTGATCTTAGTTGTGAAGGAGACAGTGACAATCAGAAGGTGAAGGCTGAGAGCTGGTGGAGGGGGGAGCATCTTGCGGGGAGAGGAAGGCCAGCACTTGGAAGTCTAGACAAGAGAGACGGGGTGGGGCCACAGAGTCAAAGTGGGAGATAAATTATCTTTTTCTTAGAGGAGGGAGAGCAATTTGGGGGGTTGGTTTCCAGGGCTGGGATCCCGATATTTGGTGGAAGCTGGGGCCCAGAACGGTACAATGCTCGGGTCTCTTTTCTCTCTCTAACCCCCACCCTCAGCCCCTCCCTTTTTCTCCCTCCCACTCTTCCTGGCCTGCATGGGAACTCGGTCTGAGCTCGACGTGACAGACAGCAGGCCTGCATGCTAATGAAGTTTGTCTCAAGTTCATTGTCAAAGCCCCCCCTTCCCCACGGCCCCCTCCCCTCCTCTCTCATACACAAATCTCCCTCCAACTTTTGTCCCACAGACCTGGAGGCCACTTGAGTCTCTGCTGGCTCCTCTCTCTCACCCTCCCCCCTGCCTTTAGTCCCCCCTCTCCTAACCACCTCCCTCAACTGGGGGCGGGTGGGGGGGGCTCTCTTCTCCCTGGTGCCTTCCCAGCCACCTTCTGGCCTGGCCATCCCTAAGCTCTGAATGAGGGATTCTGAGGGCTAAGGTCAGAGTCTATAGCCCTGGTCCTTCTTTCCCCACCTCAAAGTAGGGAGACTTGAGAGGGGCGAGAGAAGGCAACAGACTCTCCCCACTCAATGCTCCCTGCCCCTCAATTCTCAGTCCTGTCCCGACCCTGTCCCCCCATTCCAGCCCCGCTTCCCCTCCCCCATTCCTCCCATTATGATTATTTTGCTCTCCCCTTGATTACATCTGCTTCACTAGCTCAGAAATAAAGATCCTTTGAGACTAATTTTGCACCCCCCCAACTCCCCACCCCTTCCCTCCCCTTCTCTCTAGACCAGGGCTCCCGTTAGCTCCTTTCTCACCGGCTGGAAGACATTGAGTTCCTTGTCTAGGGAGCTGGGGGGTTGATGGGAGGGGGTGCCAGTGGAATGGGGGGGTCTCTCCAGCTCTGGGACGTGTCCAGCAATCCAAACCTGTCCTTCTTTTGTTCCTACAAATCTCTTCAGACTGTCACCACCCTCTGGAGTCTGCCTTTCTCCCAGTAACCAGGGGATAAGGGAGGAAGGGGAGGAGGATCCTGAACTCACCCCACCCCTCAATTCCAGGGAAAGGAGGGAGGGGGAGAAAAGGGAGAAAAAAATTTAAATCCCCCCCTCATTAGCCAGAAAGGAAGCAAAAGGGGATAATTATAATTAAAAGCAGACAGCTGTGGATTGCATCTTTTATGTTCCTCCAAGCTTCCTCCCCACTTCTGCCACCATCACCCAAAAATTTGCACAGCCCCTTGTGGATCTTCCCCCTGGTTTCCTTCGAGCGGTGAGTGTGCCAGGAGACTAAGGCAAGAGGGGCAGGTTTGGGGAAGGGGACTCCACTTCCTCCTCCGCAGACAGCACCTTCTGAAACATTCAGTAGGCCTAAGAGATGGGGGCTTTCTGTTCTTACCCACCAGCCTGTACCCCAAAGTGTAGGCTTGTAGAAGGTGAGGGAATCCTGGTGATAATAACGAATTCAATAATTTGGGGAAGCCTGAATTTCCTAAAAATAGCAGTAGCATTCATAATGACATTAATATTAAGAATTAAATAAAACCTAGAATGTTTTCTCATTCTGGCATGTCTCGCCTCCTCTGGAGTAGCTTCCAAACACAGGAGGGGTAGCTGAACGTCTGAAGAGCTGGGGTCTGTAAGGGAGTGTGTTCTAACAAAGGGAGGCTCATAGGTTTAGAGTGTACATAAAATGCACACATGCACATACATTTATATCCATGATTTTGGGGGTGGTGTTGCTAGGCCTAGCTCTGCTATCCTATGTATTTATAGAACTTGATCATAGGCCAGAACAGCAGGGTAATTATAGCATTATTAGCATATATGCAAATCAGGTAACCTATATACGCTGAATGGAGGCAGATTATTATTTATTTCTCTCCCCCTTTCTCCTTCCCTCGTATCAGCTCTGGCTCCTCAGAGCTGCACACCAGTAATTATCTGACATTATAAGAGGGGGTTGTAGCCCTGGAGGAGGGGGCTGAAGGGAGTAGGACAGGAAAAAAAACCTAGGGGCGGGAGGGTTTTATCTCATTTTACTCAACGTTATTCTGGGAAGAGTGGGGAGGAGCTCAGTGAGAAGCCTTTGAATTAACAAAGGCTAATTCCAGCGGGGTGGGGGGGCAGGAGGGGAGAGACAGAGACCTGAAAACAGAGACAGATGAAGCCAGAAAACCTTCGAAGCAATGACAGGGACTAGAGGGACAGAGCCGCAGTTCACAGAGAGTGGGGGAGCCAGAGATGGAGTCACAAACTCACAGAGCGCCAGGCACAGGGAATTCAGATCTGGCGAGAAAACAAGGGTCTGGTGTTTTTGGAGTTGAAAAGGATGAGCTCTCCAGGTTTATTTGGCATGGGGCCAGAATGGGGGCCACCCCATGTTGGTTTAGAGGCTGAGTCTGAGTCTGAATCCAGAGCCCATTCCATATTATCCAATCATTTCGCCTTTTCCTACCATCTAGTAAATGGCCACGGGACCCCAAGCAGTGGCTTTCGGTGTGTTCATGCATTCTAACCAACACATGACGAGCAGAAACCACGTGGACCTGGTCCGACTCTGGGCCCTCCTTTCTCCCACCAGGATTGAGCCGCAAGCCTCTCCTCTTCTCTCCAGGTTGGGCTACCTTCTGTAGGTTCATTCTTAGGCTCTGCAGCCGGATCTCCACAGGGTGCCTTGGTATCTAAGGAGTTGCAACACTGCCTCCCTTTTCATTTTCCATCCCTCTCTTACTCAGACGTTATTTATACCAGATCCGTGGTTGGGAAGCTGGGACCTTCCCAACTTTTCCTCCATATTGTCCCAGGGACTTGCCTCCACTGGATTGGGTACCTTTTCCTCTGCCTGTCTCAGTAGGATTCTGCTGGCTCTTGGCACCCCTGGCACATTGGGGTTCCAGCACTCCACCATATCCTTCTTTTAGTGCACTCCCCAGGTAAATTAAGGGAGTGTGTCTGTTTGACTGACCCCAAAACTAGATAGATGCTGAAGTTCCAGATGTCTCCTTCCCACAACCCTGCTCGCAATGCAGCTATCTAGCTACCTCTGTCTCAAAAAAGCCTTTGCCCATCAGAGGCAAACTTCAAAGAAGGCAATATTGGGGAGAGGCAGGATTATTGAAACTGTAGCAGAGTCCGGGGACCTTGAGTGGTGTAATGATGAAGGGTCCCAGAAAGAAATAAAGAGATAGACACCCAAAGAGGCAGCAACCAGAAGACTAAAAGGAAACAAAACTTCAAGGCTATACTTAGATTTTTGTGCAAAAATGGAAATTTGCTGTCATGTATATCTCTATAGACCAGCGAGATGGATGGGCTTTATCACCAATGATCTCTGCATCTATGACATGCTTTTGTATTTGTAGCTTCTCCTAGGTCTGATTGCTTCTTATTCTCCTGGCCAAGTAGTACAGACTAGTAAAAGAGCTGAAGAGGTAAGGAGAAAAAAAAACAGAAGGAGCACAGAGAGAAACTGACAGAGGCAGAGACTTAGAGATGGAGAGCTGTAAAAGTGAAAGAGAAAGGTGCTGAGAGGCACCAGAAGCCTGGTCAAGGATAGGGCAGACGCAGAGACTGACAGCCAGTCCTGGGGGCCAACCTTTCAATTCTGCACCCTATGTTAGAGACCTGGTATATGGCCCTCTCTCCTGCCTGCTTCTCCCTCAGGCTCAGCCAAAACATTGGCAAATAGATTTCAACTTCACCAGGCACATTTCTCTGCGAATGTCATAGCGGTATACTCTGGAGTCATCTGGACAATGGATGGGCTTCTCCCTGGGCTGTCCCAGAGAGACCTGTCCCCACTCATCCTGGCCTTCTAGGATGAGGCTCACCCAGCATTTCTTTTTGACCTATGTACTTTCCTACTTCTGCAGCTCTCCTGTACAATTCTTAAACTTCAAACCTCTGGAACTCTGTGTGTGCACAAAAATATCTCTTACCCTCATCTTTTCTCCTATGAATTCATCTCCCTGGTGATCCAGCTGGACATCTGTGGGCACACATTGTCTGCTACTTGCTGGGCTTGGTTGTCCAGACCTGTCTGTGTGTACCAGGAACAGGTTTATGTTCTTACCCAGCAGAGTCTGTGCACACTGATACCTACCTGCAGACAGGCTCCATCATCCGACATGCAGGTCTGGCCACCACTTTTACTGCTGCTGTGGCTGAGAGCACCTTCCAGAAATTCTGAGGACACAGTCCAGACAGCCCTTTACCCTGGGGTTCCCCTTTAAAGCTGCCCAAATCCCCTCTTTCAGTGGCTTGATTATATTTCAGATACATACAGTTCTCCCATCATCCAGTCTCATCAAAGAGCTCCCAAGGCACCAAATGACCCCCTTGCCCTGGAAAGGAGACCAGACCTCGCCACAGACACATAGTCTAGTGTTCCCGCTTGATGACGGTACCCATGAGCTGGAAAGAGATTTTCTACTTTACATCTCCTTAGGTGTAGATTGGTATCTATATTTGTACACACGTTATGTTTATTCCTAGAACCATATACATCTCTTCTGCTTGTTTTCACATAAATAACGGTCTCTATGTGGGCACTGGCCAAATACTAGCACTGTGTGTGATGCATGTGGCACGGAACACATACTGGCACCATGTATGGCATGCCTGCTTCATGCTCTGTAGCATGGTGCCATTCCTTGGTGCAGTACTGGTACCTGCTTCAAATAGGGTTTTCTAGGTCTGATGCTTATTTCTGGGGCTCAGGCTCTTGGATTTTGGCTGCATCTCTCAGCTACACAAGCAACCTCAGTCCAGGTAGAGGTACTGACTCCTGGGTGGCTGTGTTTATAGTTGCTAGGCTACTGCTGTGCCCGCTGGTGAGACCAGGCAGGTTCCCTT